CACATGGCATGTGCAGGACAACCAGGGACTCAGGTTGTTTAGTCTGGAGAAGAGGAAGCCGAGGAGAGACCTCATTGCACCCTACACCTACCTGAAAGGAGGTTGTAGTGAGGTGGGGGTCAGTCTCTTCTCTCAAGTAACAAGCAATAGGACAAGAGGAAATGGCCTCAAGTTGTGCCAGGGGAGGTTTAGATGGGACATCAGGAAAAATTTCTTTACTGAAAGAGTCATCAAGCATTGGAACAGGCTCTTCAGGGAACTGGTGGAGTCATCATCCCTAGAGGTGTTCAGAAAATGTGTTGATGTCATGCTTGTAGACATGGTTTAGTGGGCATGGTGGTGTCGGGTTGATGGTTGGACTTGATGATCTTAGAGGTCTCTTCCAACCTCATGATCCTATGATTCTATTTAGATACATACAAAAATGTCTAGGAACGCTAAAACAATGTTATTTAAGTTGCAAAAAGTAAGGTTGCCAAATTTAAGGGTGCCATTCCACTTTAATACTGCCTGATTGCCCATCTCTGTCCTATACAGAAGGAGTTTTATCTCGGGAGGAAGAAAAGCATCTTAGATGACACAATTCAAAACTATAATCATGCCTATGTAGAAAGTCTCATAACTCCCACATTAAATAAAGAGTTTTTTAATGGAAAAAATGGGGATCTAAGGTAACACATGCAATGGAAATAACTTTGTACAAAAATAAACCTGTAACGCTTTCAATATATTTTACTTGCATTATAATATTTATATTCTCTAGTTCTCATGTAGCAGTTCCCTTTTTATCCTAAATATATTTTAAAAAAAAAAAATAGAGAAGGCACACAGCCCTGGACAGCAGTGACTTTGACCATTTGATTGATAAGAGATTTTGTTTAACAAAACAAATCAGGAGGAAATACAGAGTATGTTAAAAAGGTCAGAAGCAAATCATGGCGGACAGTGAGAAGAGTGAATGGACAAAGCTAAAATCCTCGTAACTGTGGTACAGAGAACAGCAAAGGGCAAGATGAAAAAGAGGAATTGCATTTCATAACTGGCTGACTGAATTTTTTCAGCTTCAGTTCTGACCCAAAGACTACTTAATGCTCTCTGTAAAACAGACCTCCATTGACTTCAGAGGATTTAAAATCAGGCACCGTGTTACTGCTGCTGTTCAGTTTAAACAGGTGAATGAACCAAACAAATGGTGTTAAAAATGCTTACACCTTCAACAGCATTTCTTTGGGCTTAACTGAGGGCTGCTCACTCAAGGTAGAGCTGTAACTTGCAAACAGGAAATGTCTGAGGACTTTATCAAAAGTTGTCGATAAGATTTTTTTAAAGACTTGTAAGCCTCTCACTGGCTCCTCCCTTCATTATCTTGCATTTGTATCACAGAACAGGTGGCACTGAAGGCAAGAACTTCTCTAAAGGGGAACTACTGTGTGATGCAGTGTTCACACCAAGCAGAATTATTTGTTTCATAAAATATTGTACAAAAGCAACTGTATTTCCTCAAAGAAAAGAGCCATTCCTGTATTCCAGAAGTTTAATTTAGGAAATACGGTGGCCCATTCAAACTTCAGTTCACTCACACAGCTTGCATTCTCCACAGTTCCATCTGACTGTCTAAAATCTCTATACCTGCAAAAGGCTTCTTTTTTTTCTTGTGTGGCCTTAGGCTATCAAGTATTAAATCACTTGGCAAGATTTTTTATCCCACTCCTATCCTACGGAACTCCCTGGACCCCTAGTACCACATTGCTCTGCAGTTGAAATTCAAGTTCTGCTCAGCTCTGGCAGCAACCAACTCATACTGCATGTTTTCAAGTGTCACTTTCAGTCATTCATCCTCTCCAGCCATTATTCCTCACTCTCACGTACATTCAGCTTTCGTATTATTGGCATGGTTATACTATGCAAGATTGAGTGGGAAGAGTCTTCAAGTCCTCGAGACAGGTGCACATAGCACTGAACATCTGAGGCAAGTGGTCAAAAAATCATCTGTGTCACTACCATACTGCAGAGTTCACTTTCTTTCATGCTAAGGTGATGATTCATCTAACCTACCTTAGAGAGAAACAGAGATCTCCAAAGGGCAAATCCCCTGTGATGCCTTAAGGGATGAAGTGCCCTCTGCAGGTGCCTGCTTCTCCGCACTGTCCCTAAAGGGAGCCTTGGGTGAACAGCTCAGATTGAGATGGCTAACTTTTGGAGGCCAAACCAGGGCAGATGAATCCCATTTTAGCTATACTTGATTTATGGATTACTTCCTAAAGTTGTTGCCAGAGAATCAAAGGCTAAAATAATCAATACAAATAGCACAAATTTCTATAGTTGTCTAACTAAATTTTGAGAAATCAAAATGAGCAGAACCTGTTATTAAATCACCAGCTCCTTCAATACCACTGAGTTCTTTACTACCAACAAGAGGAAAAGGCATGTTTAAAAACAATTTGCTGCTAGCCAGAAAGCCAAAAAGTAGTCAATAAAACTGACAGAGTTATTGGTATTTTATTCCATATTTGCTCTTGAAGAGATATTGAGCCTCTGTGTGTTTCTCCAAGTGTCTTGGCAAATCTGACACTTTACCTATTAGTGAAATCACCCTTAGCTGATAATAAAAGGAAAATCTTTGTCAGATCTTTGTTGGGCTTCCAGCTCCCTACTCGCAGAAGGAAGTACATAGCAATAGCAGGCAACTTTCCACTAAAACCAAGCTGATTGTAAAAATGAAGCCAGTAGGTCTGTATGTAATTTGAAAACCTCACCAGTCAACCCGTTCATTCTTAGTTTATCAAACCATGAAAATCCTCTGTTTCTGGTTTTATTTTTGTTAAGGTCAATGTGGCCTCCTAGTCTATTTTACTTTTTTTCTATTTCAGCTCCTGCTCAGGTGAGTCTCAGGTATGCCCTAGGATCTTCCCAGATTGCATGCTGAATTGCTCTGTGACTGCTGCTTGAACTACGTTTTCACAGAAATTATTAAATATTTCATGTTATTTTGCAGTCTGTCTCTGTGCTAAACATTTTCTTGTCTTATTGCTATGACCTCAGTTTGGCCTTTCTGCTTTGATGGGCTACCCCAGCACGCACCAGTGGATGCGCAATTGTAGAATTCAGTCCTGCAATGTGCCAATCTTTTCACTAATCTATGCTGTATTGCTTTTTTTCTTTTATTTTATGGAGGAGAACAGACATGAGGGTGACATTTATTTGAGTTAGTCCAATTTTGAAATTCTTTATTATGCATGCCTAAATATTTCAGGCTGCATTTAGAGATGGTGTAAATTGTAGTTTCTCCACTGGAATTCCTATGGTTGGACAAATCCATCCTAGCTCTGAATCCAAGCCATCACCTTTTTCTTTTGTCATTTTTTTCTCTTAAATATTTGAAGATCCTTTTTGTTGTGCCATTCACGAAAAAAAAAAAGAATAGATCCTGCCATACTTGGGTAACAGACAATATTTTGAGCATTTTTTAAATGGTCATGAACTCAACTTTTATTCATAAACTCATTATGGGTGAAATCTGCTTCTGTAGGTAGGGTCAGGTATAAATATTTATACCATGTAAATTTTCTTCTGAATCTCCAAACCAGGACTAAACCAGTATGAAAACACTGTCTAAGCTATGATTAGCCTCTGCATTTATTTTATTGGAAGAACAACTCATACTAGTAGTGAATAAGAATGGAAAGAAAGTTTGAAAGACAAAGCAAAATATTAGGCAAATGAATCACAGGGAAATCAGAACCACATCTGAGCCAGAACAAAAACGAAAAGCTGCTGTAACTAACCTTTGGGTCACTTCTATTTAGGCTGTTTTTTACTTGGCATAAGAGACATGAAGGTAGGACCACATACACAACCTGCAAGTCCACAGTGATTGTTTTATTTATTGCTGATACACGAGGAGTGGGTTCGGGACAGGTATGCTATTAGGCTATTTAACATGCTTGCCAGTCCCCATAATAGCCAAGCAATTATGAATAAGGTGGGAGAAACATTAACTTCTGTTGCTCCTTAGAAAAGGCTTCTCCTCTGCCTTGATGAACTGTTGTTTTCCTTCTCTCTGCTTCTTCCTGCTGTCATGTCAGTGCCTATTTTTTAATCTTTGACGAGTCCATGAGTTAAACCATTACTGACTACTATCAAGTCACCTCTTCATTTCTACTTTCCCATCTTGCATGGCATGTATCTTGCTGTCAGGCTATGGTAAGAGTGAGTTACAACTTATAATTGACTTATTCACATAAAGCTGGACATTGGGTCACACAGTCATACAATGTAGGAAGAAATCTAAAGCATTTAAGTATCAGCTATGTATTATATAAGCTGTATATAAGCATTACAAGGTCACTTTCATGATAGTGGGTGTGGAAGTTCTGCATACTTAAGAGTATTTAAATTAAAACTAGGGGTTTTAGGGTAACCAAAACCATAATGAAAATCTCATGTTACTGAGATTATAACTGAAGAATACAACATTGTGGAGGCTACTATTTGCTTTAAAGATCCATATTCTATTGGTATTGTCCTTGAGACTGCTCCAGTGACTGCTCCACCCTGAAAACTCCCATCTCATCAAAGAAAGGTTCTGCAGGAACTAAATCTACTCAGAATTATATTCCTCCTGAGGTGAAGAACCCAGAACAAAGCTCATTCATTATTTAACCCTTCAGAAGATGGCTTAGATGGTTGTTGATCTGCACACAAGTTTCTGTTGTATTTTTGTGGGGTTGACCTCTATTGACAGCAAGAAGCTAAAGAATTCAGTGTAAAACTAAGCACCCAGTGAGCTATCATGCAGCACACAAGGAGAAAAAGATAGGCCATAGCTAGTATGAGAATCAAGGTTTAGATATTTTTCCTTCACGGTCTATAGGATCTCATTGGGTCCTGTTCCCAGCTGGGTAAAAAGGACAGTTCCACAGACAGCTCTTTCTTGATAGGCCATCCCCAGGCTGTAAAAAATGGAGCCAAGTTCTTATTCACCTGCTGAGAAAACTTCTGTGCCCACAAGTTCATCTTAGAAGCGTTGTCTTTTGGGACGGTGGATATTTTCTGGTAGTCAGAGAAGAGGTGGGTGAAGGGGTCCCAACCAAACCCTTCCTGCAACTGATGGAGAAGAATATAGTATAAAAACAATGGAGTTCTCATTTCACTGGCATTATTCCTGTGTTACAAGCAATAGAAAATTCCATAGGTTTCTGCAGTGTCTTTTAGACTGAATGTAAAGTTAGATGAAGGCATCCAACTTTCAGGCTTCAGAGCATAACTTACAGCACTAGAGTACAGAAAAATAAACCTTCCCATTACACAGGCCTCCCAAAACAAAGAGAGATGAAAGATGCATTGGGAGCAGTCAGAAATGTCAGCAACCTACTATACAAGTTGCTGCTTTGGACAAAGGAAAGCTTCTTGTGCAGTGAAAAAGCATCAGAGACGACACTGACAGAAAACCTAGAAAGAAGTAGCACAGGAAAACAAGGAGCAATCAGAGAACAGCAAGGAGAGACTGTGAGCAGGGCATGCTTTGGCTAGGAATAAGGACAAAGGTAGCTTCAGACAGAAAAACTGCTGTTGCATGAGTAATGAGTTTAAAGAAGGATGGGAAACCTACGTTGTTGCTCAAGATGAGGTTGATACAAAGAGCTGACTTGGAACAACAATATGACAGGATGCAGAATGTCTACTCGATGTCCATAGTTCTTTACCAAACCACGACCTACATCTCACTTTCTGAGACAAGGGGGCTGAGGGATACTCACCTCACAAAAGTCAGTAGGTTAAGCCATTATAATGGACATTTACCTTACAGTCCCCAGTTAAAATCAGGTTGAGTGCTCTCTCCATTAGACTAGTAGTTGCTAAAAGGATTAAGGGAAAGGGGGAAGGAAAAAAATCTCTCTCACATGCTTCCCAAGAGAATGCTTTTCAGTCTAGGACAAGGTTCGTGATTTAGAGTCTTGACCACAGTGAGGGATCTGGTTACATGTGCAGGAGGGTAAGCTGAATCTGTCCCCTAGCCACTTGATGCTGGCTCCACTCAGCTTGCATCAGCTGATACAAACACTCCACTCTTTGCTATGGTTTGTAAAGAGAAGCCTAGCCCCATAACTCACCAGGACACGGCTAGAAGCCCAGCTCTTCTAGACACTTACAATGCCAAGGTTTTTTTTGCCAACTAGCCCAATGTTGCACAAGAAATCAGCAGCAGATTAAAGAGCTGTGCCCAAGTTTGATCATCCTTTTCCCACGCTGTATAACAAGAAGCAGCTTCTGTTTCTCTCCTAGGAAGAAAGATTAGTATATTGCACTAAGCTCTCTCCCTGAGTAGTTAAGCCCAAGTCTGGCATACGAAGGCTTTCAGGAGACATCAGCATTAGACAGTCTGCCTCTGGTGCTTTCTGGACCCAACATGAACCCCGATCGTGAGCAAACACTTACAAGGCATGGCAGCTACAGTCACCAGGCTGCAGACATCCTTCTGACACAGGCTTCACTGACTGCACTAAGAATACATCTGCTTTTCCCAGTTACCTGCAGGTATGTCTCCAGAGCAGTCCACATCATCCAGTCTTTTAGTTGAGCGCCTTTCTTCAGATACTCTCTTATCCTTTCCTGCCGACACTGTGACCTAAGTGCCTGATGGGCCTGATGCCTGGGAATCCCCAGCACGTTCTCATGGACATAGACAGACCAGAGGTTGCAGGTGGCCTCTGTGGTATGAGGAGGAAACTCCCATGCTTGCTGCTGCTGATTGTGTCCCAGCTCATGGACAGGGCCCCAAAGACCAGTAGTTTGCATGTGCTTCAGGTCTAACATCTCCTTCACCGACTCTAGGTGGCCCATGATGGGGTAGCCAGCATGCATCCAGCCTGCAGGAAAGACAGGTATCAACATAAGTTGTAAGTGCTCACTCCAGTGCTTCTTAGACACAAATGACCGTATTTTTTTTCATTTCCCCAGTGCCTTTCCTCCACCTCACAAACCACACTGTATTACCATGAATTACAAATTTTTCGCTTTGTGAGATAAGGAAAGTTTCACCCTAACAAATAAGTCAAATAAACAGTGTAAAGACAGTACTGAACTGTCAGTTAAGCAGTTTTGCCTGCTTTCCCTTTTTATACATAAGCAATACACTCATGGTTGGACTGAGGTTGAGATTCCAGGATGAGGAAAAAAGCCTGACCATCGCCCAGAAGGCACCTAAACTCTCACCAACTGAGCACAGTTGATGCCAACCCAACCACGCAACAACGTGATTCAGCACCTTGGCAGAGCTTGACTCTTCCTACGTAGAGTGTGAATACTTCAGGTCTGCACTCCAGTAGTCAGCAGTGTAGGTGAGACACATGGAAGTCACAGTTTGTCACGCTTAAGGGCTGCAGAGCTTGTCATGCTTAAGCCTGTTCTTAATCCCACAGAACAGCTGTTCTATAAACAACTTCCCAGCATCATGCTAGGCAAGAATCTTGCACTGCAAGGGATTTTACTTATGTCTCCTTGGTGTCTTCATCCCTAATTTGTCCTTCTCTTTGAAGATTCCCAAAATTTCATTCAAGAGTCACATCCCTGAACTCAAACACCTGTTGTAGCAGGGAATAAGCAGCCCTTTCACACTCACTACATAAGGAGCCTACACAACTGGTTTTGAACACTAAGCTTGTAGACTACTCTAGTTGGAGAACACGAATGGCAACCCCCTTCCTGCAGGAACTATTTAGGATCTTGAGCTCCCTCTTCTTTAATAAGAGGTATGCATACATTTATCAGCCATTGGCACCCAAAAAGTTCAGGTCCAAATATGTGAGTGAAACCATTTTGTCCACCCAAAACAAAAGGGAATTCTATGTCTGTAGACTATGATCTTTTTAACTGACATTTGCTCAGGATAGCAGAACTTAACACTCCCAAGATGTGCAACAAATTCTTTCCATGTGGCTTAGCAAAGGGTTAGGACTTCAGGGTTCATGCCAAGACTTTGTCTCATTGTGGGATGATGAATTTAACCAGTCTAGTTTGAAAAACAACCGAACAAAACTTGTATTGCAAAGTTCCACATTTACCATATAATTTGACTCTAGATAAAATGTTCTCAGTTCACAACTGGAAAAGCTGGGGTGGGGGGAGCATCAGCTGCAAAACTACACACTCACGAGCTTTGACAGTAATACGAGTTCTACTTCTCCCTTGCCATCACCTCAGGCACACATCTTTTCAGGCTAAGTTTTGTCCACAATAACCTTTGTGGAGCCCATCTCCATCAGGTAGGCACACACAGGTTTAACAATTGTCACTGATGCATGAGAACAGTCCTGTGGCTGAGGCAGGGAAAAAAAAACAAATCAGGTTGCTGTCTCCCAGCTGCACGGACTCTGTAATGCATTCAGGAGGGAGAATGAGTAACTACATGTGAGTCAAAGCCACTGCAGTCAGCAGCTCTGCCTCTTAACACACTGAGGCAGAACAGCTGAGTGAGACACCACCAGTTTTGAGAGCAGGGAGGCATCTGAAAGGGTCAGTACATTTTTTTTTTAAACCCTGCCTTACCGTATTTCCATTCCAATGGAATAGCTCGCAATTATGCAAGTGTCACAGTCATTTAACACCTTACATATTTCCCAGCCTGGTTTCAGCAAAATAACCTTGAAGGAACAGACATCGCTGCTAGAAGCCACTTGTCTTAGCCCTTGAGAAGGCCATATGGCAATGTACCTACCAGATGAGATCTGGACATCTGTTACAATCCTCTCAGGCCTTGGGAATTTTGTTGGTATGGCTGCCAATTTGCTTATTGCCACCATGATCTCATTCCACAGGGTCAGCAGCGGCTGTGGGTTCTCCATGTGGCGGATGCTGTCAGACGGCACAGTCAGTATGAGATTCTCAACAGCCAGTTCTGCCCAGGGAGCAGGGTAGTGCCGGATACAGGCCTTCCACTGGCTTTCGCAGGTCTCCCCTACATCAACAACACAGAAAATCATTTAAGCACAGCTCTGACTTTTGAGTATGCTTCTGAGGTCAAGCTGGAGAAAGAGACCAGTCATGAAATTCTCTTGGAAAACAGTATGTGGCAGTTCAGTGACTGGGGGTGGTGGTGGCTGTTAACTAGTTAATCCTCATCCTGTGCTTGGGAAGTCTCCTCAGGCTCTTTAATGCATGTGAAACAGACAGAAAAGGACTGGCATATACCAGAATAATAGTACAGCAAGAACAGATCTGTTTTCCATCTGAGAACAAGAAGCGTCAGGTTTCTCCAGCATCTCTTCATGATCTCATTTCTTCTTCTCCAGCAGAGATTTGCTGTTTCATATAACCCTGGTTTTGTTTAGTTTGACAGAAGAGTGAGAA